TTTTTTTTGGTATTTACGAGGCTGTTTTTAACTGGCTTTGAGCTGAAACAGTGGTTCGGGCATTGTTAATTGTTAGAGACGATGGCCATATAAATCTGATTTTGTGACAGATGTTATTTGCACTGAATGGTTACGGGTCTGCTAAATTTGCGGGAAGCATAGCTTTAAATTCCTCTGTTGTTGTTTTCACTTGTTCGTATTTTAGGAAAAGTTTCCAGTTTTAATTTTTGGGTGGAAATACCTGAAGAAATTTCCTCTAATCTAGTCTCTCATTTGATTGAGTTCAGTAAACTAATTCTCTGCGTACCCATACAGACAAAATGAGAAATGTTGGTAACTTTTAATTCCAAGTAGTGAAGCTGATGTTAGTGTTTGTTTGAGATTCTCTAAGTTGTGCAAGTGCACAATGATGTTTACTTCATCTTGGCGTCGGCAAGTTTTATTCACATTCTTGCAGATCATTACCTCCTTATTGTTTTGAGTCGATTTTTTTTCAACACATTTAGTTTTCTGTTTTCTTCTTCTACTAGTTCAAAATTACTATTCTGATTAATGGAACCTGCATATACTACATCCTTTTAATATTTGTTTGTTAACAAAAGTAAATTGAGGTAAACTGTATGAGTGAGTTTTTTCCTTTAATGACAGTCACTTTGGCCTGTTCTAACTGCATAATTTTTTGCAGTTTCAAATCAGTTAACGGCAGCTGTTCTTTTCCTTTTGTTACGGAAGTTTACTGCTTATTTTGGTAGCTTGCAATTTTTTTTATGTTTTTGGCGGTATGTTCCTGTTATGCATTTTAAATTATGATTAAACCAGCGAAATACATCTGGGTGGTACATGATAAGAGGCATCGCGGTTTTCTGAATGATTGTTTTTCAAAAAAGCGAGATTTTTTTGTTTCACTGTCTACGCTTTTCTTCTTATATTGTTTTTTTTTTTTCTTTTTAATAGGAGTGGATTGAGCACAAATTTTACAGCTTTTTTCTGTCATGCAGGTTGCTTTATATGATTCTCACTGTTATTTATTTACTCTTTCAGGCGTGCTCTTGCTCATCTTATCAGTTGTATTTTTTAGCACTTTAATTAATGATCCTTTACCTACTTTTATGCTTCATCTACATTCACTTGTTTCAACAATGGTAGTCCAAACCCTTTATTATTCGATACCTTTGAACATTCATGGAATTCAGCTTGCAAAGAATGGGTGATAAGCCGCCGTTGAAAGAAGTTCCCGATAGAATTTGCAATCCTCAGACTAACGAAGTTTTCCAAAAGGGGAAGTTTCTGGGTAAAGGGGGATTTGCAAGGTGCTATGAAATGATTAACA